TGGACGCAGGTTAGGCAGGTGAAGCGCCTCCCCGGAAACGAAGCTGGAGCGCCCCACCTGCCTGGCCCAGCCCGCTCTGGTCGGATCCAGCACTTCCAGGTTTCTTGTGAGTGCCCCATGGTCCCCTGACCCCCACCGCCCCCACTCTCTCCCACTGGCGCTTCCTGACAACCTCCACCCCACCCCCGGCCTGGCCCCGCTGTCCCAGCACACCTGTGCCAGCACTTTCCGACCCCGTGAAGTCACAGCCCTGAGGAATGCCGGGACTGACTCCAGGTCCCCTCCCACGGCCCCTCCCCCACCTCCCTTGGGGGCATCTGCACCTGCTCCTCCCACCTCAAGTGCTAGGCAGCCCCTGGAGTGGGGTTGCGAAGGACCAGTAACCTCATCAGAGGTGTAACCCATGCACAGCCACATTAATCATATTCCGGGACCGATCCAGGACCTGCATCCTATATGAAGCAGGAGTCCTCTCCTAAATTAAAGAGGAGAACATTGTGTTCTCTGATTCAAAAAGCACGCTTTGGGCATCTGTGCGGGCCCAAGAATTCCCACTGGAAATTTGAAATGGCCGTGTCAACTGACTCGTCCCCATCCTTCAAGAAAATGTTACTGTCCTCGCTTCTCAGATAAGGAGACTGAGGCTCTAAGAGGTGAAGTCATCCGGGGCTTCTCTGACCTTCCCCTGAGCCCCTCTTCTGACTAACCCACACCCAGCATTTATCACATACACACACCTGCTGTAAACTCGGGCTCCTTGAGGGCAGAGACCACAGCTGCTTTATTTCACCCAGTTTGAGTCATGCTGACTGGTCTCTAGAGGACGTATTAAAAGAGTGACCACCGTCAGGTCCCTTGCCCAAGTCCCATGGGTGGTAAGAACAGCAGCTGGGGTTCCAGCACAGAGCCCTCCTTCTCCCTTTGCGCCACTTTAGAGAAATCGTGGAGGAGGATGTCATGGGGGATTGGTGATGAGGAGAACGGAGAAGAGTGGGAGGCAAGAAGACGGGTGTGGAAGAGGGTGATGAGGCAGGAGCCATGGAGATGGAAACAGGGATTGGATGGAGAGAGGTTTGCAGGTGGCCTCCCTGGGATTACACTCCACAAGGAAGTAAGGAACATGAGAGGGGGAGGAGGTCTGGGCTAAGAGCCTGGGATGCGACCCGTTGTATCAGAGGTGACTATGGAACATCCAGGTGACAATTGGCTTCGGGGTCTGGAGCTCAGGAAGGAGATCCAGGTTTGAGGGAGAAAGCGATTAGGGCACCAGCGGCTGTGGATGGAAATCAGAGGAGATGTTGGGGAAGGAGAGATCTAGGGGTTAGATCCTGACCCACAAGAGAAGTAGCTGCAGCCCCGAGAGAGAGAGAAGATTCAGGGTCAGGCTGCTGGTTCCAGAAGAGTTAAGTCATTAGCCCCCTCCCTCCCCACAGCCCTCCCCCCAGGAGCCAGTGGTGACAGCTGAGGCCATGTGAGTCGGATCCTGAATGAGGCTTTATCTCTGCTCTTGGTCCCATCATCCACTGTGGCACCAGTTCCTTCGCCAGCCGGGATGGGACAGGCAACTGGGAGAGCCCGGAGAGGTCAGGGGCCGGGCCAGGGGC